CCGTTTTTTATGCCAGCAATAATCGCTCGAAAATGCTATAAATGAACTTGAATAACAAATGACGTTTTTCGTATATAATGCAGCAATATAAATGCATAGTTAAAGTTCCGTGTGCGCGCTATAATAATCAACGAATCACGAGGCTTAGATCACAGCTGCTGCGTGTCATCGAAGATAGAATTGGTCAGAATATATTTACAAGGCCATTAGGATCGTTACTCTCATGTACAGCCAGATAAGGCACAATTACATATGCTTTTGCTAAGACACTAATACTTGTTAGTGCTAGATAACTGCTTCCGCTGTTTTATTTGGGGTGTTAAATCCCCAATAAAACACCAATAAAACACTCGGCCACCAGGGGGCCCGGGTTGGTTGAGCGGTTTCACAACAGCTCAGCATTCGGACCTCAAATCTCCGTCAAAACTGTGAGTAATAATCTAAATTTTCTCGCATGGTTTTATGAGGCTTCGGAGCACTTTGAGGAGCACGGTTCAGCCACCCAAATCAGTAACAACTTGATAAATTACCGACTCATACTTCGGGTAGGCCTAACAACAGCAACCACTGGCTCCACTTCGATCAAATCAGGAATCCCGCTCTGCGGGAAAAAACGGTTTTTCTTCACCGAAATCAACTGTGAGTAACACGTGTATCCGCCCTATGGGGGCTGCCATGTTGACAGGGGGCTTTAGCACCTGCCCCCTCGTGGTCAAAGATTGAATGAAAAGGCAAAAGATCACAACAAATATTGGTAACATTATCAAATCACGCAGAAGGAGGATTTAGGGCTCTGAGCTCAATCTTACCAGTTTCCGACCGGCGAAAACAAACCCACAAGCATTTTTTTCCCACCTTACGACCATATGGGGGCCGCCATCTTGTGTGAGACCAAGCCACTTTGAGGACAACGAGTCATATCTCGGCTTTTACACACCCCAGGACGACAAATCAGGTCTCAATTGAGTCGTTAAAATACGGCGATAGCCGTAGAAAAAACCGCGAGCGCCCAATTCAACTGAGAGCGTCAAAAGAGACTTATTCAGAAGACACACTCAGTGTTGCCGGACTGCTGTCACTGCTTGAGCTGGGTTTGGCGAAACAGCCTCCACAGCGAATTAAGCCCACCGGAACTGCTGCTCCTCCACCTCTTAGCCAATAAGCACAGATTATTCCAACTGCGGGAGCGGGAGCGGCCGCGTCAGCAGCGCGGGTAAGTGAGCTTTGCACATATCTACCTATAACATATCTACCTATAACTTTAGCAATTTCGGTCCTAGGAGGATCAGAGTGGTGTCTATTTGTTTGTGAAGATACAAGGAGTCCAACCGCTACAAATACTGCTATTACAAACGAAAATTTTAAATTTTAGGAACGGAAAACAGTGTGAATCTGTGAAAGCAACAACTGCCAGAACGCGTGCCCGGTGCCGCGCAGTTCCCAAACGGGGAAAAAAATCGCGTGTTGATGGAACTACAATAAGAGGCCTGAGGTGCGGCCTCACTGGTAACCACCGCCGGGAACGCACTCCCTCACCAGAGAAGGATTGGCCACCCTGGTGCAGTATCTCGCCACTACCTCCCACATGGATACGCCAAATAACTCACGGCCCCCAGTCCTCAGGAGCTGCGAAGCAACTGACTACGGCGGAGGTCAGATCTGCAACGCAGCAGAGGGTGCTAAGAATCTCTGGACTACAGGCCGCCATTGGAACCTGAACTTGGCAACGTTTAACGCTAGAATCTTATCTAGTGAGGGAAGTCTAGCTCTACTATTCGAGGAGCTAGAGGGTGTTAAATGGGATATAATAGGGCTCAGTGAGGTTAGGGGGACAGATGAGGCCTATACTGTGCTACAGAATGGGCACGTCCTTTGCTATCGGGGCTTGGCAGACAGAAGAGAACTGGGAGTGGGGTTCCTAATTCACAGAAACATAGCTGGCAACATAGAGGAATATTATAGCATTAATGAAAGGGTGGTAGGCATTGTAATTAAACTGAATAAAAGATACAAGATGAAGGTAGTACAGGCTTGCGCGCCTACATCCAGCCATGATGACGCTTCAGTTGAAAGCTTCTATGAAAACGTGGAATCAGCAATGAGTAAGGTAAAGACACAGTATACTATAGTGATGGGCGACTTTAATGCAAAGGTAGGGAAGAAGCAGGCTGGAGACCAGGCAGTAGGAGATTATGGCATCGGCACTAAAACGCCAGAGGAGAGCAACTAGTAGAATTCGCAGAACGCAATGATTTGCGGATTTTGAATACTTTCTACCGAAAACGAGAAAACCGCAAGTGGACATGGAGGAGCCCTAATGGCCAAAATAAGAACGAAATTGACTTTATAATGACTGCACACCCAGGAATCGTGCAGGATGTGGAAGTGGTTGGCAAGGTACGATGCTGTGACCATAGAATGGTACGGTCTCGAATTCGCCTAGACTTGAAGAAGGAACGACAGAAGCTGATACGCAAGAAGCCAATCAATCAGCTAGCACTGAGAGGGAAAGTACAGGAATTCAGAGTGTCGCTGCAGAACAGGTACTCGGCTCTTAGTGAGGAAACCATCTTTAGCGTAGATACAATGAATGATAATCTAACGAGTATCATTACGGAATGTGCAGTGGAAGTTGGAGGCCGGGTAGTTAGACAGGACACTGGCAAGCTTTCCCAAGAAACGAAGAACCTAATTAAGAAGCGTCAAATCATGAAACTGTCAAGTACAACAGACGAAATAGAACTGGCAGAGCTTTCGAAGTTGATTATAGACGTAAAGTATGCGATGTAAGAAGGTATAACATGGAGAGAATAGAACACGCTCTGAAAAACAGAGGAAGCTTCAAAGCAGTGAAGAGGAAACTTGGGATAGGCAAAAGTAGGATGTATGCACTAAGGGACAAAGAAGGCAAAATAACTACCAATATGGATAGGATAGCTAAAATAGCGGAGGAGTTTTACAAAGATCTGTACAGTAGCCGAGACAACCACGACCTTAATACTATAAGAACTAGCAGTAACCCAGACGACACCCCACCAGTAATGATAGAAGAAGTCAGAAAAGCTTTGGAGAGCATGCAAAGAGGCAAAGCTGCTGGGGAGGATCAGGTAACATCAGATCTGCTGAAAGATGGAGGACAGATTGTGTTAGAAAAACTAGCCACCCTGTTTACAAGGTGTCTCCTGACGGGAAGAATACCAGAGTCTTGGAAGAACGCTAACATCATCCTAATACATAAGAAAGGAGATGACAAGGACTTAAAGAATTACAGGCCGATCAGCTTGCTCTTTGTAGTGTACAAGCTATTTACAAAGGTAATTGCTAACAGAGTAAAGGAAACATTAGAATTCAATCAACCAAAGGAACAAGCAGGATTTCGAACAGGCTACTCAACAATTGACCCCATTCATACTATCAATCAGGTAATAAAGAAATGCTCAGAGTGTAACGAACCACTATACATAGCCTTCATAGATTACGAGAAGGCGTTTGATTCAGTAGAAATATCAGCCATCATGCAGACACTGTGGAATCAGGGCGTAGATGAAGTATATATAAACATTCTGGAAGAAATCTACAGGGGATCAACTGCTACCATAGTGCTTCATAAAGAAAGCAACAGAATACCAATCAAGAAGGGTGTAAGGCAGGGGGACACAATCTCCCCAATGCTATTTACCGCGTGCTTACAGGAGGTTTTCAGAAGCCTAGAATGGGAACAGTTAGGGATAGGAGTTAATGGAGAATACCTTAGTAACCTGCGCTTCGCCGATGACATTGCATTGCTGAGTTACTCAGGGGACGAATTGCAACTCATGATCACAGAGTTACACAGGGAGAGCAGAAAGGTGGGTCTTTAAATTAATCTGCAGAAAACGAAAGTAATGTACAACAACCTCGGAAAGGAACAGCGCTTCGAGATGGGTAATAGTGCACTTGAAGTTGTAAAAGACTATGTCTACTTAGGGAGGTAATAACCGCCGAGCCTAACCACGAGATTGAAGTAACTAGAAGAATAAGAATGGGGTGGAGCACATTCGGCAAGCACTCTCAAATTATGACAGGTAAATTGCCAATATTTCTTAAGAGGAAGGTATATAACACCTGTATCTTGCCGGTACTTAGCTACGGAGCAGAAACCTGGAGACTCACAAAGAGGGTTCAGCTTAAATTGAGGACGACGCAGCGAGCAATGGAAAGAAAAATGGTAGGTGTAACCTTGAGAGACAAGAAGAGAGCGGAGTGGATTAGGGGACAAACGGGGGTTAAGGATATCATAGTTGAAATAAAGAAGAGGAAATGGACATGGGCCGGGCATGTAGCGCGTAGACAGGATAACCGCTGGTCATCAAGAGTAATCAACTGGATTCTCAGAGAAGGAAAGCGGGTTAGGGTGAGACAGAAGGTTAGGTGGGCAGATGAAATTAAGAAGTTTGCGGGTGTAAATTGGCAGCAGCAAGCACAGGACCGGGTTAACTGGCGGAACATGGGAGAGGCCTTTGTCCTGCAGTGGACGTAGCCAGGCTGATGATGATGATGATGATGATGATGATGGTATATCCCCAGAGAGAATGTGTAGTGACAGTACGTAGTTCTTGTTCGTATATTGCTGCCATCGTCACAATTTATCGAATACTTCAGTACTCCAGCGATGAACTCAAGTCTAAACAGTAGGATGCAGGCAAACAATTTAAACACGGCTGTGACAAGTAACAGGTGTCACTTATATTTTAAGGGTATGCGTACGCACATAAATGTCAACGGGAGTTACATTGACCGTCTTTATATATTTACGCCTTATTGGGCTGAATTCACTCGGCTGTTTGATGACTATGGCGTTTGTGTACTTGTTTTTTTTTTGCGTTTATCTTTGTTGAAGCTGTTAATCACACAAAAATTACCGTATATCCCCTTTCTGAAAATATATTTCAGCCAAAGCGAGAAGGAAACAAACTTCCGAGATTGAATTGAATGCTTTGTGTTTGTCTCGTTTATTGTAGGTGAACAACGCAGGGATACCCATGCCAAGGACCCTCGAAAGTTCTACACTGGATGACTACAACCTCGCCTGGCAAACAAATTTTCGCGGTCCACTCTTGATGATAAAATACGCGATGCCACATTTGCGTCGAACCAAAGGTACGGTTTCAAAACACACACGCTTCCGAGTATTTTAGCAACATGAATTACGCTCGGCGTCAGGCTAGTCGGAATCATAGAGTTTAATATAAACACACTAGAGGGAACGCTGGCGCTAGTTCCTATGAGAGTTTAAACGCATGGCGCTTCAGCTACTGTGGGAATGATGGCTAGTGCACAAATTCTAAACTTCACTATTTCGGTTTCATTTGTCTCCATGTGGCCTGAATCTGCTTTGTCGCGAGACGGAGTTACGCGAATCTTGAGCAGTTGCACTTTGCAAGTTTCACCTTTTTGAACTCAATAATTTGAAGCTGCTCATGAAGTTCACAATGATCTATTCCTTTATCCATAAAAAATGTCAAAGCACAACAATAAACAAAGCCACAAGTTCGCTCGAAGCCACTAGCACGAAGGTTACTAAGAAAATCTGTTTTTTGCCCATCATTACCATGGTGGCTGGACTGTCACAGTGCCAGGGTCCCTTTAGTAAATATTGAAGAAAACTGCATGGTAGAAGTCATGCACGCTCAATTTAGAATTGATCGACTGAGATAACTGGCTATAAAGAAGCCAATACGGGAATAATAATAAGAATATTTGATCATCACGCGAAGCTACTCAACAACGAGAGTAAAGGGCTGGTATTCAACTTATAGTGCCTTTTATTTTCTTTAGGCGCAGTTATGTCCGCGTTCCGGTCCTAAGAATTGTTTATCGTACCGAGATTTCATTTTTTCTCATTGGTCTACACAGTTATTATAATTTGTGTGCAGCATGTACCTGACCACACGCTCACACACACTGCGGAACCTCAATGTGTCTAAGTCAGCCACGGGGAATCAGTGGCTAGGATCCTCGGCTGTTGACTCGAAGGTCGCGGGTTCGATCCCAGACGTGGCAGTCGCACTTTGGAAGCCCGAAATGGTAGAGGCCCGTGTACTTCGCTATGTCAGTGCTCGTAAAAAAATACCAAAATATCAACATTTGCGGAGCTGTTCACTAGGTGTCCCTAAAGATCCTATAGTGGGGCATCAAGGCACTCTATGTAGTAGTTTTGAAACGTAAACCTAAGATAATATTATTATTTACACGTTTAGTGAATTGTCGCTCCGGCAAAACCGAAATGACACCCAAAAAGAGAAAGACGACAACGTGCTTGTTGTGGGTTGGACTCTCGAGCTTCCCCGGCCGTTGGCCTGTATGACTGTGCACTCTGTACGACATTAGCAAGACCCACTGCGAATAAATCTTGCTTGTAAGAACGATATTAAAAGCGGAAAATTTTTGGTCGCATCATGTTGTGCTTTAGCGTCAGTGGTGGCGCCGTCCACATTGCCCATGCTCGCGTCTCGTGCCGTCCCAGGAAGACTTCCGCAAAACTGTCGCTCCCCTCTCCCTCTTTCGCGTCGCAGGGCCGACACAGGCCACGCAGGCCGCTTCTGCTTATAACAGAACCACTGCTCACGCTGCACAACCGATCACTGGCCACCTCGTAAATGTAGGCACTAAATCGCGTGTTCGGAATTCAGTCAAGAGCGTCTTTATTTTGTTATAGCTTGAAGTCGAAGGCAACGCTTCTACTTCATTCAGTAAATAAAAATATTACATGCAAAATAAAAATTAGACATTCCTAAACCATACTGAATTCCACAACATTCCCGCGATAATTCCCCCCTCCTCCCCACTCTGCAACGCATTTACTCGAGTTCCCCCCGTGGGAAGGTGCAGGCGGCATTTTGATCAGTGTACCTTAATAGCACGATGATGTATACGTGAAGTAGGCAGAAACAACAATAACAAGAGCCCCACATTGCATTAGCTGACAAAGATCTATTCGAGCTATCGATCGGGGCGTATGAGCGTGCTGGTTTTCCTGAAAACCCATGTTTTGCAGGCAACGTTGTGAATGTGTCAAGCGTGGCGTCGACAATAGCGGTAAGTACGAGTGATAAATTACGATGCTTGCATTGAGACGCGAAAGGCTTGAAACGCCGATACTATAAAATTCTGAACACCAATTGGGTAGCTTCTAGATTTCTTCTAGGACGTATAACTAGGGTGGTGCAGGTTGTTTCCAGGTTGTTTTTAGGTCGTTGCTAGGCTTCAGCTTTGTTGTTTTTAGGTTGTTTCTACGTTGATCAACAACGCGAAAAGGTTTGAGTTAAACCACAGACAGTCACATATACGACACGGATATCAAAACTTCAGAGACAGACTCTCTCCTTCTCGGGAGCAGCCTAGGCTTATGCCACGAATAGCCGCAGTTCGTAACAAAGTTGTTACCACCACCACAAGGCCTATTTGCAGCAGCTTCATGACGAGCACTGATTTTTGTGTAGTCCATTGCTCTCCGAGAAGTGAAGTGTTAATAAATGAAAAATGAGCAATAAACTATTATTTTTATTATGTCAGACTGAAACCCATTCGTTCGTGAGTCAGTGTAAACCCATGAACGTCAGATTATTCTTTGCTGATGATAGCCACATTGAATAAGTAAATGTTTCCGGATCTTACCAAGGTATGATTCTTAGGATCTTTATCACTGCATTGGGCGTTTTCACACCACATATATATAGGCCGTGACGTTTGTGAAGTTTCGGCAAGCTGCTGTGAGAACATTAAGGCAGCGTCCTAGGTGCCTGTAGTTTTCGCCCATTGTGACTCCCCGAGAGTGTTGTGATAAGTGTACCGCCTTGAGGACTGTGTAAAGTTCACTCAAAGTTACTAAAACAATAATTTCTCCCTTTAGCCTTACGTGGAAGAGAGTGAACTGCAACTGCCTTACATTGAAGCAATAGCTTTCGTGAAGGACATATAACAATAGATTTAATGCAGCCCCCTACTTCTGTAATTAAACTTGTACTTAGTGAACCACTTGTAATACCTGGAATTACAGCAGTCAACACAGAGAGAACGTGGAGCGTTCAATGCTATTAAAAGAGGCTCATGATGTTAATATTAAATGTTCACTCCGGCTAGTTCGCACCAGTTTTTACATGAGAAGCCTTTCTTTGCGTACTTCAGGCACTTTGAGTATCTATCTATCTATCTATCTATCTATCTATCTATCTATCTATCTATCTATCTATCTATCTATCTATCTATCTATCTATCTATCTATCTATCTATCTATCTATCTATCTATCTATCTATCTATCTATCTATCTATCTATCTATCTATCTATCTATCTATCTATCTATCTATCTATCTATCTATCTATCTATCTATCTATCTATCTATCTATCTATCTATCTATCTATCTATCTATCTATCTATCTATCTATCTGTCTATCTATCTATCTATCTATCTATCTATCTATCTATCTATCTATCTATCTAGCCGTCGACGTCTGGGTGCTCTCACCCCTTCAACATGGGGTAAACTGAAATTAGTTATAGAGGGTAAGATGGCTTCGTTATTATGACTCACTGGCCATGACATGAGCAATGTTACAATCCCGTCGCGTGCGTCATCAAACGCTTTCCGCCAGACGTGCGGCACATACCCGCGGGCGGGTATGTGCCACAGGTGATGAACAGTTTATATGTATCAAGAAACGGAAAGAACAGACATGTGTAATTTTTACGCGAGAGCGTTTGAAAAAAAAAAAGCTCACATAGGCAACGTTGCTCCAAACAATGCAAACGTTAATTGTCATGGTCCCAGCAGAAAGCGAACCCCACTGTTTCGCGTGAAAATCAAATGCAACCACAGAGCCATGGTAGTTCTCAAAACTGCTTTTGAAGGAGACCCTAATGTGTGTAAAGAATCAAATGTTGATTCATTGCTGGCCATCCAATTTTATAAACATCATATATGTACTATTTGCGTCAAATGAAACCCGAACAGCGCCAAGACTTCGTAATAGTATAGTGTGCGCCGTCCAGTTATCACCGTTGACAGTCGCGCGCATACTGTTCGGCATCTCTGCGCATAAACGTGTGCTTGTTCATAGTGATAAGTGGAGGGCATGGCACTAAAGCATCGCGAAGGCTTGCTGCTGTTCGGATTTCAGTTGACGCCGATACTAACTCCTATAACACTGCCTTCACGTCGCTATAACGTAAATTGTAGTTAAGCACCATACGCTGAAGTATAATGGTGTAGCAGTGGCCACGACTAGCATACTCACGTGCACCAGCACTACATATCATACCGCTTCTGGTATTGCTAACATGCATGTTCCTGTTGACATCGTTACGTAACTGTAAACAACTGGTTATACAAAACACGTGTGACGGGGTCAACGTGCGTCTGTGCGTGTAATTTACACATCTTTAGCGCCACTTCGTAACCTTTCGCACAGTAAAAAATTACAACACAGACACCGTCCATCCGCATGGTTTGCATATCATCAATTCCCAAGGTACGCGTAATCTCCCGAATTTTTCGATTGAAGCACCGTTGCCTTCTTGTACGCTTAGCATTGTGTTGAAGGTGGGATTTGGCGTTACGTTAACTTGAACAGACTTGAAATATGCACTCTTTTCTTGCGGAACGGGTATTTTAGAAGTGTTTTTTTTTCCCAAGAGCGACTTTTTCACCAATCTAAGTTTTCACCTCCTCACTACGCAGGCGAATAGTGCAACTCCTTACTGCGTGGCAAAAGCAGCACTGGATCACCTGTCGCGATGTGCGGCGCTGGGTAAGTGAACTGAGTGTCCTACATGCAGGCATGCACTGTGAAGGGAGCACGTGTGCTTAGCTCGATGCGCTCAGTAAGCCGATCCTCAGGCTTGAGACGCTTTGTACAGACAAAGTGCAAGCGCTGTTGTTCATTTAAAGAAAGAACTCATAAACTATAGCACCTAAACTCTAAATAAACTCTAAATAAGCACATAAAGCTCATACGCAGATAAAGCACACAAACTGCGTGTAATCACACTGGCCTTATAGTCACGGTTAGTAAGCGTAAGCTTCATAAAAGTTGTGACAATATCTGACCGGATCAGTCAATTTATTTGAGAAAATGAGCATCGCATGAATCGTGGGGGAGAGCGAACATGAAGAAAAGGCGGAAAACGTCATCAATATTTCTGCGGTCTGTTATCGTACACGTATGATGGTATATGAGGCGCTAAAAGCATAGAGGGCCGAAAAACTCACAATACACATGCTCATAAGAACGGTTTGCATCTGGGTTAGTTAGTGATCTTGCATGTCGTGTGCTTGTGGCTAAACTTAAACGTATGAACGAATGACACCTTGACCGCGACTGATAAGCTGGACTGATGATGCCCCTGGGTTGATGAGCTGTGAGTCCCATCTCCCAAGATGCAAATAGCTGCTCATCAGTGTTTCTCAATGCCCGTTCATTATCAAATAGTGAATCATGGTTCAGGAGGTGGGCGACTGTATTATATTAAGTTTGCGCACGTGCATGCATCGGCCGTTTTTGAGTTGGTTAACGCTAAGACAACGCAGTGCAGACGTAGCATCTTAGCTTCACCCTAAAAAATGTTATTGGACGCTGCCAATTTCATCATGCATAGAGGTAGTATTAGCTACTATTGTAGTACAGTAGCACATTAATTTAGCGTTGAGCTAGCGGGACATCATGCGTGCTCTGGCGAAGTTCCCTTAGAGAGTTTTTTTTTTGATAAATGATTAGAAGTTTCGGCGCATGATCGTGCTTGATCAAGAGTAGATCGGGCAGCATGATCGGCGTTGTGGTGATGATGATGCATGCCACTATGTCCAAGCTGTTACTGTAAAGCTGTAACAATGTCTTTGAATGTTCCATGCAAATGCCATGAAATGTTTAAGTGGTATAAAACATTAAGTGATTGTAATATCCACGTCGTAACGTTGGCGGTATTTCTAGGCTATCTAGATATCTCAGAACGTTGCCAGATTACCTGGTGATTATAACTAAGAAAGGTCCACTGATCCTCCAACAGGGACAAGTTAGGAGCTGGTATATTTTGCAACGTAGTTGTAGACAACATGGAATGTTCTCAATGGGACGCCGATCAATGGGAATGCCATCAAAACGACAGACGCTGAACTTTCAGTGAGAGAAACGTCCATGCGAACATGGATTTGGTTATCGTAGAATGTATCTAAAAAGTACAGTGCAACGTGCCCGAGAGCCGCCGAGGGTATTCGAGCCTTTTCGAAAATTTCTGATGCTTTGAGGTGCGCAGGAAAGCTTTTGTAGAACCACACTTGAGATAGTGTTCTTGTTGCGAGACAACTGTGTCGAAGAGACGAAAAACTGTCCAGGTGCGAAATTGGACAGACCGAGTATCATCGCGTATCAATCATTCGTATGTTGATTTATCCTTGTGCAACGAGAATCGATGTGTTTTTTTTTTCTTTCTGCCTCGTGCGATTATTCATTGGAACAAGCTTGATGCCAGTGCATTCGTTATTGTGGGTCAGCTAAACTTTTTCAGCGTCGTTAGCAGTTGATCTATTCAGACCGCTGAATTTTATTTTTGTATATTGTGCATTACCTACCCCTATAACAATGCGCGAGGGCTTAGAATCATGTGCATAATTGAATAAATAATAAATAAATAAACAAAACTACGAATTGGAGTAGTGTGCCCTCAATATTTTTTCTGAGTAGCTGGTGAGACTGGAAGGGGGGGGGGGTGGTCTGCATATGCGGTGAATGTCCGCTTCGAGCACGGGGAAAAACTTGTAAGCCATGAGGGAGTGATAGTTGGATACGATTATTACTGCTAGCGTGGAAACACAGCGTGGTAGACCCACAAAAATAGAAAGAAGCTGGCCCGGAATCATGTGCATAGATATTGCTTTTTCGTAGTTTTGGAAAGCGCACTGTATTGTAGATACCCGTTGATTGCTCCCTACATTTTACCGAACAATGACGTAAATTTTTTTCTGCGACGAAGCTTCAGTATGCGTGACAAAGAGCTGAGCCTGCCCTTTATGTTTGATATGTGGGTGCTTGACAAAGCTCTTCGCTTTTAACGCTCATGGATCCTGTGAAAGCCTCCTTTTTCCATTCAATACATAGAGGGTACAAGGCCACGAGATTTCTGGTAACAGGCACTAGGTGCACTTATTCATACAAATGCTGATGCCTTGAAATCTGAGATACGTCGGGGTCAGTGTTGCGGCTTTTCGAAACAGTGTACTTATCTCAAAAAATATGGGTCATGTTAAATCTAGCCATCGAATTCCGCATCTCACAATGTGTCATCATCAACTGCTCTGAGGACCTCGCTTCTAAAGAATTTTTAGATGCAGATCTCAGGCACTGCCGCGTTTGTGGGCATTGGCCTTGAGGGCCTCCTCTAGAGAGGCCAGCGCTGCGATCGTTTTAACGTCACAGGTAGGATAGTAGTTGTGAAATACGGCAGCTTTGCTTTCGCGACAACACCTGCGTCGTCCCCCATGGCTGCACCGGTTTTTAGTCGCAATTTTACGATGCAAATTACACACGAGAGTGCCACTGGGCGCACCTATTCGTAGTTTGCTTGCCCGTAGTATCATGTCTTACCGCATCTTGAATCACTGATTTTCAAAACAAAGGAAATCACGGACGGTGTCCACAGCAGAAGCGAAGGAAGTGTGGTGTTTTAGCAGACAACACAACCCAGAATCCTATGAGTGACGTCATCACGTAGGTGGCGCCACGATATGTCCTTGAGGTCAATAGCATGAGGCCTACGCGCAGGGTACTCGTAAAATATTTTGAGTGGTTCTATTTCAAGCGTCTATTTTGCAATTTATTCGCTTGTTCTTTTTTTTCAGAGAATGCTCGGTTCGGGGTTCGTGTAAACACTGTGACGTAAGTTAAATATACTTTGCACATTTATATCTCCTTAACATAAAGATGTATATTCCTAAGGGTTACAAATGTATTTCGGCAGACGAGATCTCAATTCATAATCATCGCCTTCTCCTTATCGCCTCACTGCTTATCTGCGCACCGCATTTCGGACGTACGTTAAGGTCTGTGATGTTCTACGTCGCTTTCGTAGCAGTAGAGTATGTATGGCGACGTGCTGCCAAAGGTTGATTATGTAGACCAGATGTCGGCTGCCTAATTTCAATAATGATTCCATTGAAAAAATTAAAACACCCGTATGTGCTAAATGAAAGTTAAGTAAACATTACAATTCGTCAAAATTATTCACTGGTCAAAAGTACGTGCCTGCAGGAAACTTGAACAAACTAGATGAGGTAGAATTAACTAAAGACACTATGTTTCAGAAGCGTAGGACATGTTTAGCCAGAAAATAGTGCGGTAGCATCACTTTGAAAGTAATTTTTGCTGGTTTATGTATGAATTTCGAAAGGGCGGATACGCTTAAAGTATTTGGCACTGTGACCACTAACTGAAAGACTATCAAAGCGTAGGAATCATCTTCATCGTCAATTTCAAACAGTAATTTTCTTATGAATTGATCGATTACGCGTAGACCTATTTCTTTTAGTATTTCACTACTTGCATGATTTACGCCGTGGTGTGTCTAAAAAACAATCGAAATAAATATAAACCGTACAAACAGTTTGAGACGCCTAAGCGCCTTACTCAAGATTTTATCCATATCATTCTCAAGCGACACGTTGCACGAAGATACGAGGCTGACAGATGTTTAGTAGTTCGGCGCTTCTGTTTCTAAAGCAAGCAAACGGATAACACGTAGGGAGACGAGTTAACATTCAACAAAGTTTAAACAGGCGGATAACTATACCACTAAAGTTCTTCATGAGTTGTTTTCATCCTCGGGGCGTCAAGTGGTATTTTGTTTGAAGTATTAACAATCTCTATATGGACTCTATTGCCATTTAGCAACATTGAGGGTGATGTCGCCGAAACAATATCTCCAAACCGCTGTCGCGGTGACTGGATGGCAATTGTGTACTGGAATGCGAGAGCGGCCGTGTACAGTTTATTCGGTGTGCGCTAAAGGCCACTCTTCGCTTGACGTGCACCTGCAAGCAAAACTAAAACACATGTAGTAAGGAAGTCTTTGATTCAGCATATATACAGAGCTATATATGTTTTTATTTTTCTGCCCTTTATAAGAAGCCTGTTCATGACCGACTTGAAGGAGCCAAAGGATTGGCTCATATGAGTGGGAAAAAAGAACTATTTATGAAGGTGCAGTCTGCATACTCAGACTGATAACTTTCATTGACCTCACTCTGGGCATTTACCCCAGTGTCATTTACCATTCTTCCGAAGTAAGAGGACTGGGCAACAGCCGATATAAATGGATGAGTAAATATGCGCTTCCGGCTTTAAACAATTGCTGGAGGTGACTCAGTACGTTATTCCTTATCTATGAAGCCGTGCGACTAAATTAGCTATGAACTTGACAGTTCAAAGTTCAGTGACCGGTAGAAAATTATTCCGAGCTCCATAAATCTTTTACCTTGACAAAAATTAGTACATATTTGTAGGCTTACCTTACGAGTAGCCTGTACTAAATGATACGCCTGCATAGTTTCTTAACCTTGTTGATATACATTTATTTGATATCGCCCTGCAAGCAGGTCCAGGAAACAACAACAACAAAAAAGAACTGTGACATGGGAGTGAATTCAAAGTCGCGTAACCCAGTGTCACTGTCGAGCGTATTTTTAAAATAACTGTTACAATCGTGCGTCACGGTGGTTGAACTTTGTGGGTATTTCTCTGCGCGCCCGTACTGCTGTCTTTCAACTAGTAGGCTTTTGGGAATAATATTTTAAGAATGATTTCTTAATGATTTTCATAGTCGGTATGCATAGCAGAGTCACTTATGGGGCGCACTCGCGTTTTATTCAAGGGCACTTGGACGACACTCCGTCGTCCTTCTGAAATGGCGCATGCTTCTCAACACGCTGCGCTGCTCACACGAATTCGTAAGGAAGCAATCGGTGTGATTTTTCAACGTGATTAGAGATTTCAAAACATCCTTGACTTTTGGGGTTTAACGTCCCAAAACCACCATTTGATTATGAGAGACGCCGTAGTGGAGGGCTCCGGAAATTTTGACCACCTGGGGTTCTTTAATGTGCACCCAAATCTGAGCACACAGGCCCGCAACATTTCCGCCTCCATCGGAAATGCAGCCGCCACAGCCGGGATTTGATCCCGCGGCCTGCGGGTCAGCAGCCCAGTACCTTAGCCACTAGACCACCGTGGCGGGGCTTTTCAAAACATCCTTAAAAAGTAGCTACGTTCTCCCTGAGGTGTTATGCGCCGATGATCTGGTGGTTAGAGCGTGGGGGTTCTGCACTAAAAACTCGATGGTGAAGCAGCGACTTCCGAGCATGCTGCACGCGCCCCCGTCAACACGCCGGAAAACTCTGCGTCCGATGTTGATTTTTTGATACATTAACATTTTTTTTTCACTTTATTTTATCACGCACCTTTCCTCCTGTCTTTTTCTACCCCTCCCTTTTCTTACGTGGAGCAGCAAAAAAGAGTTCTTTTCTCTCTCTCTGAGCATTGTTATTTCTTTTGGTTCGGTGTGCCAATGTGCAGGGCCGACGTCACTTGTGTGCAGTTTTCCGTTCGCGTGCGTACGTGCGGTTGTGTACAGTTGACACCATCCTGTCTCAGATATCCAGTCGGTCAATCGCTACGTCCGTTGGTTGGTCCGAATGGTGGGCCCAGGTGGAGTAGGTAGCTCAGGAAGCCCCATGTTTACAAGTGTTCTGTACTTTGACTTTCGATGCACTTTATTCACTCGTAGAGCCATATATCATACTTGAGAGGAGCCGTTACAAAGTAAAAGACAAGCCATAAATATAGCTCGTAAATAAGTAATGAAACAAACAGTATATGTCTACTTTGAGTAAAACACGAAGAATATAAATAAGCGCTTCATTATTCAGTCTGGATATGGCAATGATCTCAGTTTCGTGTAAACAGGCTTGTCACGTACCCTTTTTGACAATAGATAGATAGATATGTGGGGTTTAACGTCCCAAAACCACTATATGATTATGAGAGACGCCGTAGTGGAGGGCTCCGGAAATTTAGACCACCTGGGGTTCTTTAACGTGCACCCAAATCTCAGCACACGGGCCTACAACATTTCCGCCTCCATCGGAAATGCAGCCGCCGCAGCCGGGATACGAACCCGCGCCCTGCGGGTCAGCAGCCGAGTACCTTAGCCACTAGACCACCGCGGCGGGGCCCTTTTTGACAATAGAATGTAAAATGTGCCGCGGTTTGCATGCTCCATTATTTTCACTGAGTTTGAATTAGCGTTCACGTTCTGAAATCTTGTAGACACTACATACACTCAACTATTTCCAGATGTTGCTCTGCGCGCATTCATATGCGTTTGACAATTATGATTGAGATCTACCCACTGTTCATGCAGTGATTGAGCCTGCATGCAAATTGTCCTAACAATCAAGTGGAAAGGGTATCAAGAGGTAAAATGATTGAGCCTCGTTACTTTTTTATTTGAATAAAGTAGCGCTAAGACGGTACTGAACATTGTTGGTTATGTTTATTCACACGACCCTCAAAAAACCACCAAGTGACTTTAGGACTCCCGTCAGCACAAAGTTCCAGCATCGGGATGTATCAATATGTTGCAATTTTCAAAATATTTCAAATATGACCTAGCGTCCAGCCAGATATGCGCTTGTGACAAGACAGCCCTCACTGACATGCATGTCTATCGACATTTAAGTAAGCATGCCATTTTTTTTTTCTAGGCAGTAGAGTCCTTCCTAAGGCATGCGTTTTATCGCGAGCTTTGTTTTGGTAGCCCAGCTCAAATATTTCTGTGGTTCACTGCATGCATAACCGTGTGATAGCCGGGGGCTGTTCTTCCGCTTTCAACATTGCTGAAATGGAGGGTTCATGCCGTTTTGTTTTACCCTATCCAGTCCAGCGGTCATCAAAACACCCATAGGAAAACAGCCTGGTGTCTCCTTGGAAAACCACATGCGCGTGAGTATTATTCCGCTTGTTTGAATGGGCAAGGCTCGTGCACTTGTCCTCAGAGTTGAACAAGCAGCGGCAGAACGAGATACAATGAACTACTGCTGCATTCTTTGTGACTTACTAATGGCAACGCTGCCTCCGTTCTGCGAGTAATACATACGCTTGACCAGCTTATATTGTTTCTTGATTACGTCACAGCGAATTGCGCATAAATATAGGAAAGAAATAAACGGTAACTCAAAGTATAGTACTGTTCAATTTTTTTAAAAGAAGGTAGGTATATCGTTCGAAATCACAGGACATAGGGTGCCACAGCCAAGTATCTGAACGCGAACGTTTTCACAAGGTGTTTGCTTTCACAGAAGCAATACTGGGTTTCCAAACTGTTGCGCTGGTCAACTACGACGCAGAAAAAACAGCCATTCGAGCTAGCTGGTAACGATTCAGTATATCTGCAAAAGCTGTGGTGCAGTGATCAACAGGGACCAGAAAAGAAAACGCCTGCGTCGCATGTGCACCTCGGTCGCCATTCTCTTCTGTAGTAACTGCTCCGCCATTCGCCCCACGTTTAGATGCGAAGCCGCTTGTGGCCGGGGCCTCTCCCATGTCCGTCGTCGTAGCCGTGCTAGTTCTCGGAGTGCGGACTAGATGGCTCTGCGGTACAGCACTCACTTCACTCCGGTGCGTGCTCTCGTAAGTGTGGAGAGCGCTGGTGGCGCTCAGCTGCTCTGTATAATAAAAGCGCTTAGTTCTCCTACATGAAACTGTGAAAAAGCGCTCATTGCTCGTGGGCCCGTGCCCTGGTAGGAGTGGAGAGCTCTACTGGCCATGCGCTGCTCTGTATAAGAAAGCCATTTATTCCTCGTAGATGGCTTTTCTGTACAGCACTCACTCCACTCTGGTGCGTGCTCTGGTATGAGTGGAGACCCGTAGCGGCGTTCCACTGCTCAATACAATAGAAGCGCTTATTCCTACTACATGACTCTGTGGTAGACCACTCACCCCACTACGGCGCGTGCTGTGGTATGAGTGGAGACCGGTAGTGGTGCTTCGTTGCTCTGTATATTAAAAAAAACGTCTACTGCTCCTACATGGCTCTACGGTCGAGCACTCGCTTAAATGCGGCGCGTGCTCTGGTCAGAGTGGAGACCGCTATAGGCGCTCCGCTGCTCCGCATAATGAGCACCGCTAATCCTTCTACATGGCTCCGTGGTAGAGTAGTAGCTGCACTCGTCCGCGTGCTCTGGTATGAGTGGAGACTGTTAGTGGCACTCCCTGGCTCTGTATACACATTTTCACTCAAGGCTCCCTGGGCACCGCCATAGTACTCTTAGGGCTGCTAATATTGCAACTGACTCCACAAAAATGCACTGCCAAGGCTGTGACGTCAGCTTACATATCTTTTGTAACAGCCTAAAAAGAAGAAAACACTCTCCGTAAAAGGGGTCCATAATAGGAGCGCTTACTCCTCTTATTTGACTTTGTAATAAAGCAGTCATTCACTCCAGCGCATATCTGGTATAAGTGGTGACCGCTAGTAGCGGTATGGTGCTCTGCATAATAAGAGTGGTTACTCCTTTGACATGAGTCTGTGGTAGAGCAGTCGCTCCACTCCGGCGCGTGCTTTGGTATGCGGGGAGACGGGCATTGGCGCTTCGCTGCTCTGAATAATGCGAACGTATACTGCTCCTACATGGCTGTCTGGTAGAGCACTGGCTTCAACCCGGCGCGTGCTCGCGTAAGTGTGGAGAGCGTTGGGGGCGTCGCGCTGCTCTGTATAATAAAAACGTTGGGCATTTTCTTTTCTGTCCAGATTAGTAAGGGTGTCAAACATCTAGTTGTGAAAGTCGTCCAACGTAGCCAAGCTTCTTTCCCGACTGATGTACCAGGTCTGGGCGTTGTCTTTCAGCTATAGTACTGATTGGTACGCTTGTCCTCTGGGGTGACCTTTTGGTTGCTTTTCGCACAGCATTCAAACTGGTCCAGCCAGTCTTGGGCATCTTTATGGACGTCACCATAAAAACTAATCAAAAATCATTGGATTCTGAAGTGTCAAGTGTGATAGAGCTGCAGTGACCTTGGTAGCTGAAGGAGGCAAGCAATGGCTGGCACTTTCTCGCAGGTGATTGAGCTCGGGTGAACGGCCTATTAGGGGGCGACTGAAACGGTGGACCACTGTGTCAACGCAGTGTTACAATTCAGAGCTTGATAGTCGGCTCCCTAAAGGGGTGCCGAGCACGAAGACTATCCTGGTTTCTCCACTAGTGTGACGACGTCGTATTGACGAGCACACGATTAACCACCAACAAATGCGCTTTATTGATCACAGAAGAGATTGGAACGTCTTCTTCGTGTCTGCTTGGAACACCCGCACTGCTTCTTTGTCAATGCCGCTCGCACATATGCGTGGCAGTGAACTGCTCCTACATGACTCTGTGATAGAGCACTCACTTCAATCCGGCGCGTGCTCTCTTACTAGTGAAGACCGCTAGTTGCACTCCACGGCTCTGTATAATAAAAGCGCTTTCTCCTCGTAGCTGGATCTGTGGTAGAGCATTTTTTTTATCTTTGGCGCGTTTCTGATGTGAGTGGATATACCACTAATGGCGATGCACTGCTCTTAAAAAACGCTTACTCCTCGTAGATGGCTCTGTGGTAGAGGTATTATTGTTGACACGTCTTTGTTCACACTTTATTGCCTTTGAGGGCTGCAGTCAAAGTAGGGCGATAGACGGCAATAAATAAAAAAAGTAAAAATTGAAAACATAAAAGGGGGCACTAAATTGCAGTTTTAATAGGCGTCTTGGAGTTGACGTTCTGGCTGTCACGCCCAAGACGGAGCCTGGTGGCAATGACTGGAGGCATGGAATCGTCCTCGTACTCGAGCAGCGACCGCCATTGATTGTTGGTGGCGGCGAAGGCGAATCTCCCGGGTTGTGCCTAGGCCTGGGATGAAGTCGGGCTCCATTCCGGTGGGATTGCAGCAATGAACCGTTTCCTAGTTCCAGTATACAGCAGGCGGTCCCAAATAAGGTGTGCCAGGTCTGCTTGGGGTTTCAGTGGCCGCAGATGCCAATATTCGTGGTGCCCATGTCTTGATTTCTGCAAAAACGCTGCACGAAGAAGGGAGTAAGTAGAGTTCCCATCTGTACCTGCCACAACAGTACCTGTGGCCGGTGGGTATCAGCGCTTGAAGAAAATGGAGGTATGTCCAATGGGTTAGATACATCGAGAAGCTAGCTTCGCTGGTAGCGCTTTGCTTGGGCCCGATGGAATGCTTCCATGGGGTCTTACCAACCACTGTGCTTTTTAATTTGTTCTGGTGAGCTGCGCAATATGTGTTCGGGTGGCCTTGACTGCGCGGACAGTACCATAGCGGGCTCCAGTCGAGGTGCCCATTCATTTGCTGGTATACCCGTGTGGCTGGGAATCCTATGCAGAGGCAAATCGTGCCCTTGTTCCCGCAGACGACGCACGTAAAAGCGTAGTTGTGTAACAGGAGTGGTAGTGCAAGTGTGCTTACAAGCTCGAAATGCCTCTTGGCAGTCGGTAAATTATTTGGAGTGAATTTTCTTGTCACTTTGTAAGGCCTAAATGGCGGACTCAGTATACTTGGGAAAATCCAAAATAGAATATAGTTCCGCTGTAGATGTATGAACAACGTTAAACGCTATATGCAGTTTGGTCCCCCTTTCGGTGGCCTTTAGGTTGGTCCATGCCGTAGCGAACATCAATGGTTGTTCTTGTTGCACGATGGATGGATCCACGTACACTATTTCACAGCAGCTATGGGGGTGGTTTACATTATGTACCTCCTGCCTGTATTTCTCGTGGCTTTGGGCGTGGACCTGCCTCCTCGGTGAATGTTCGTTTCCCACGTTCTTCACCGAGGTTTAACGTGTGCGATTTGTATTTGCTCTCGAGGGGAATATAAGTCTGGTTGCACAGGAAGATGAGATACGTCATGCCCGAGTTCAGACGAGGTCGCTCTCTTTGAATGCGTAGACAGAAGTCTTGTGACCTGCGTCACCTCGTGCGTAGACATAAGGTCAGCGATGTTTCCCAAAGCAGAGCAGCTTTTTAATGCAAGGAGGGGCGTGCACTTTCGTAACCCTGTGATGACTCTCCTGGCCTCGTTATTGAGATGCTCAAAGAACTGCAGCTGTGCGCGGGGATGGGGTGATAGAAGGTGCCATACATAATACGAGAATGTATGAATGCCTGCACGAAGTGCCCAATTCCTTTCTATCTCACCCCTCATTCTTTTGGTGATTCTTCGGAGCAGTTGAGTGACTTGTTGTAGCTTTTATAATTTGATTGAATTATGTTGTGGATATGCATTGCTCGTCGAAGAACATTCCAAGCATGCGGATGACACGCTTCCTGAGGACTGGTGCCCGACTGATGAGAGATCAATGCTGGCCTTTTCGTCGCCTTTCGCTTTTGACCTTCTGCCTCCATGGATGACTACATTTTCGCTTCTTGCTGGGGCTAGCGTAACGTCAATCCTTCTGGTGAAGTTATCGACGGTATTAAGCGCCTTTTGCAGCGCCTCATCTTCGTGCTCGAGAGAGCCCTTTGTAGTCCAAAGCGTCACATCATCGGTATAAACAGCGTGCTCAATACCCTCAATTTTCGCCAGCCTTGAAGGAAGAACAACTAGAACTAGATTGAATATTGTGGGGGAGATTGCGGCTCCCTGCCGAACACCAACCCGGTTGTGACGATAAGAGCTGCGCTCGTTGCTAACTTGAACATTGTTCTTTCTTCGATGAAAGCGGCAATAAAGTTGTACATGAGACCCCTGATGCCTATTTCGCGTGCAGCTTGCATGATTGAAGATTGGGCAATGCTGTCGAACGCCTATCGGACGTCTACCTCAACGACGATGTGAAGGCATAAATAGAAGATGTCGAGGACGTTCTTTTTTATGGGAAGCATAATATCTTGAGTGGAAAGACCAAGTCTGAATCCATATTGTGTGTGCGACAGAAAGCTATTTTTTA